CTTCAATGGATACACCCAGGCATAGCGAGTTTTGTCATCTGTGAATGTTAGAAAGTATTCAGCACCACCGCATGACTTAGTGTTTATCTTTCCACACACATCACTATGCACTAAGCCTAGTGGTTCACTAGCTCTCTTTGCACCACTATTAGGAAACGAACACCGGTGTAACTTTCCTTGTACACATGCATCACAGAACTCCAAATCTTTCTTTGTATCAAAGTTGAAACCTTCAACTAAATCTTCATTTGCTAATCGCTTTAAACTTTGGACTCCCAAGTGTCCATAACGTTGATGCCATAACATTTCATTTGAGAGTTCAGTTCCTTCATTTGATACAGCATTTGAACATTCTAAGATAGGTTGAAAATCCAAATAGTACAAACATCCAACTTTCTTTGCAATTGCAATAATTTCCCCGTCACTGCATGAAATATTGCATTTTGTTTCTTCAAAACTAACAGATTTACCAGCTTCAGTCACTTTCGATACGCTTAGTAGATTATAGCTCAGTATCGGAACAAAAAGTACATTATGTAGTTTACACTCTTGCTGCTTTCCATTCACAAGATTAGTACATACTGTAACAATGCCACTTCCAACAGCATTCAGAACTTTTCCATCACCAAGCATTACATCAATAGGCTCATTGAATTCAACAAAGTCTTCAAGCAAAGCTTTGTTGTTACACATGTGGCATGTTGCACCAGAGTCAACAATCCATGTTTCACTGTTAGTTCCACATGTATTTGCTGCCAAACTTTGTGCAACAAATCCTAAACTTTCACTACGAGAACCTGACTGCCCCTTTCCAGCTTGTTGTCCCTTGTTTAAAGGTGATTTAGACTCCTTTGCGATTTTGTCTTTGTTCAAATCTTTACAAAAACGTCTTATATGTCCAAACTTTCCACAGTGATGACATTTAATTGATTTCCTATCAGTCCTCGAGGCCGCCATAACTTTACCCGAGGCTTTGGGGGACTTTTCTCGCTCATTCAGCTTTGTTTCTTCATAAAGCAAACGTTCAGTTACAAGTTCCATTTGTGGGACTTCAGAACTCGCTTTGAGTGCAGTTATACAAGCATATTATAGGTTTCAGGGAGACTTGCCAGCAAGGTTACAACATTGTCTTCATCTTCCATTGGCGCACCTATTACAGCCAACTGAGTCATTGAAAACCTCAGTCATTGATCATCATTATATGACTTGATATAGAATTCCCTTCTTTCAGCCTCAAATTATTTAAACGTAGTCTTAAAGACAGTTTGTTTGCCCAGGATTTCTTCTGAAACTGGTCTGATAATTTCTTCCATACGGCTACAGGGTCTTCAGGATCTCCGAGCAAATATAACAGCGAAGGATGTACGGAAAGCACGATAATCGCCAGTGGTTTATCTCTACGACTAACAAACTTCGCATATTTTTCAGCTTCTGTCGAAGCAGGAGCAGTTTCAGTTCCAGAAACAATGCTCCACAGCCCGTCTTTCACGAGAGCCATGCGACACTGGACTTTCCAAGTCCCATAGTTCGACCCATTCAACGGTACAACCGTAACAATTTTCGATTCCGCCATAAATATTTTGTCATGCTTCCATACCAGTTTCAAAATACGATTTAACGATTAAATTTATCGCAATATCTCGATTAAAAACTTCGAATACTTCAGCCACTGGGCCCATAACCTATTGGATTTGAATATTTATTCGAACAGTCACATTTTTGTGATAAAATATGAACATTTAATGAGTAAAATATATCGAGATACAACTTGAACAAGAACTGCAACGAACAATTACACGAGGCACTAAAATGGATACACCAAACGTTCGAATCAGAATGCATGACGTAATATCAACTAATTCAACACCATACAGTAAAGTTTTAGCAAATATTGCTGCCCAGAAAAATGAAGTGCCCTTTTGAAATGGCTGCCCCCGCCGCTTCACATTGCTTCCGGCGCCCCTGCATAGACATACTTTTATTTTTCGGTAGAAATATTTCATGCACCTTGTGTCGCGTAACTTAGTGCGATTTAAGTCACGCTGGTTGCTGGCTCACGATTCAAGACACTTCACACGTGGGACTGTATTTTTTGTATATATTTATTAAGTACAGATATTTACACTTGTTTAGTGCACGTCGTTTTACAATGATGTAATTACAATTACCCAACACGATTGTCAACTCTCAATTTGCGATTCAAAATAACACACACACATAACGCGTTCAACACGACAATAACCAATACCAATCACCAAACCCAATAATAAAATAATACACTTTTTAGCCTATATTTATATTAACAGAACAGGAATACATATTTTCTCTACCACAACTTCCCTTACGTAAATGGAACACGTTTATTGCTATTTTGTTCCCTTTTTGTGGTTCTTAATCCAATTTTGATCTACCACACCATCCCATGCAAGTCATGTCCGTGACGTTCTAATGTGGGATTCTAGGTGTTCCCATTACGATGCAATTTTATAGTGTCCTGTATCACGTTTAATGATACAAATAATGTTCTCTCTCTCTATATATATATATAATATTTTTAACACAGGACAAATAGACATTACACACAGAATACATAACATTTTGCGACACCTTGTGCGAAAAGAGTTTGGTTTACAACTTTAAATGTATTAAACTATCAGTCGCTGGTTGCGAGCGCAGGAATACCATTTTTCCTATTGAGGTGTTTGTGATCGTAATAATATTTTACTTCCCTTAAGTTACAGTTATTGACATATATGACATTTCGGTTGTTTGCTATTTGACAGTGTACTTCTTTGTTAACAACTTCAACATCTTTGTCCAATTTATCATCTCGGAGTGTAATACTAGATAAGATTATCTTTTTCCCTGGAAAAGCATTCACAGCTAGATTGATCATCTGAAGTTGTTTACTGATGACATCTTTTGCAGTAGAGTGTTCTAGATCGTTAACACCTGTGTTAATGATCAGTTCCTTATTAACTTTAAAACGTGGTGATGACAAGATATTTATCGCTTTATCTGTTGTTCCACAGGGAATCACTTTCACTGTACTTTTAGGGCATAATAGGTTTGTATTAATAAACTTTCTATTTGAATCACAGAGAAAAACTAAATCGAACATTCGAGCTGTTCGCTCGTTACTTCTCTGTCTTGATCATTTTGGTTTGTGGGAGTTGTTCCCGTATTATCTACCTGTTGTGGAGGGACAACGTGATCTATATTCACTACTTCATTCACAACAATATGACTAGATTCTTCATCTGATTCTGATGCAACTTCATCTACTACATTTTGTTGTTTCATTCCACTGTATCTTGATCTTTCGTGACATTGACTATTTGAACAGATGGAACCTGATTCACCTTGTGTTGTAAGGAATCAACATGATCCTGCAACAGTTTATTTGTCTCCTCTAAATATCTAACTTTTTTTGATAAATTGTTCTTTTCATCAATTAAAGAACCAAGCCGACCCTGAACGCTCCTCAGATTCCATTATTTTGCTATCGTAAGCTTTCCTGAGCACTGACATTTCATGCTTCAGTCGATTAGCTAATGCATCATCTAGCCTTGAGAAAAGACTATCGCTGAGTGAATTAACTTTATATTCTAAATCCACATGACTTTTATCAACCCTAGCAACAAATTCCACAAGATTGGATATCTGCTTGGTGCAGACCTGAATAGTTTCTGCAAGTTTCTGTTCTGTAAGTTTTTGCATAGACTTCGATTTTGGTGAACGGCTTTTTACTTTTTTTGAACTTACAGGTGTGGTTAGTCCTGCTCTCATCGAAGGACGACGTACCTTACCAGACCCTTTTGTACCAGGCTTTTTTGGTCGATGCACAACTTTGATATCCTCCTTCACAATTTCGTGAATAGATAGTAATGATTGGTCCCATGACAATTCACTGAGGTCAGTAGGTAAGCTAATTGTCTTGTTCATCCCGTCTTCATGGAAAATGGTGTAGTATTCAGAACTAATAGCCTCATTGTCTAATCCAGTGTCATAATTTTTAAACTTATTAACAAGATCTCTGAGGCGTGAAAACTCAGTGTTTTTCCATAAACTACTGTGGTTTCCTTAAATAATAAGTTTTATACTCTTCGCGTTTCCCAAAGTCCATCCAATACCGTATCATAAACGCTTTTATCCACCAATCAAAACGGGATTTGTTGACGAAAAACTCATAAACATCTTTCTCTTCGGGGTTTTCGGCGGCAGGTACAAAACGCAGGTTGCAGGTTGGAATTTTGCAGGTTGGGAATTTTGCAGGTTGGAATTTTGCAGGTTGGAAATTTTGCAGGTTGGAATTTTGCAGGTTGGGGATTTTGCAGGTTGGAATTTTGCAGGTTGACAGGAATTTTGCAGGTTGATGATGCTACTATAAAGTATTCTAGTATAATTTTATTGTGTACTTATTACAGTCTGACTCCTTGTTGCCGCTTTTGATATCAGCCTATCCTGCTACCATGTTCCTAGCCTCTGCTCATCACCCTTGTGAAAACATTCAAAATGATCAGATTGGCTTGGATCTTCAGGGGGACGAATGTTTCGATTGTTGCGAGGAGCCTACATGACGTGGTGGCAGTTCAGAAAATGCTTGAATGAGGTGTCTCTCCTCTGCACCCGCTAATGAGACCACTCAAGCCCCCAATTACCGTATCATTACTCGAGAGTTAGTTAACTTTTAAAAACATTCTAGTATAAACGCCGCCACATCATGTAGGCACCTCGCAACAATCAAAACATTCGTCCAGGGGCGTAGGAAGCTTCTAAAAGTTGGGGGGGGGGGCAGGCTTTGAGGGGCACTTTTCGAATAAAAAAGGGCATCTAAAATTTTTTTCCCGGAAATGTTGGCGACGGGGAGGAGGTCTCAAAATTTTTTTCTGGACATACCAAAATAAAATTTTCCAGATATATCCAATTTTCCTAAAATATTCCTATTTCCGGAAATACCAAAAAATTTTTTGGACATATCATATTTTTTCCCGGAAATGAAAAAAATATTCCGGAAAATAACATAAATTCAAGTTTCGAAAAGTTCGCTTTGGGCAAAAAAAGGCAATCCTTAAAACATTTTTAACGCAAAAAAGGGCACTTTCTGCCACTTTGCTCCCGGAAAAAGAGCACTTGGCAAAACTTGGGGGTCCTGGCCCCCCCTGGCCCCCCGGTTCCTACGCCCCTGCATTCGTCTCCCTGTAGGTCCAAGCCAATCTGGTCATTTTGAATATTTTCACGGGGTGATAGCCACTAGCCTTAGAGCAGAGGCGCCGACAAGGAGTCAGACTGCAATAAATGCACAACTAAATTATACTAGAATACTAAAAAAGTGGTGTAATTTTAAGCTTGCATTATTAACCTGCAAAGTTCCTGGCAACCTGCAAAATTCCAACCTGCAAAATCCCCAACCTGCAAAATTCGCAACCTGCAAAATTCCAACCTGCAACCTGCGTTTTGTACCTGCCGGGATTTTCGGCTATAACTTCTTGTTCGGTATCGGCCACATTTTTAGTTCGGACTCAACCTCGTCTTGCTCAGACGTCTTTATACGTGCATTCTCAGTATTAAGATTCATGTTATAAACATAAAATATCGAAAAAAATAAACAAAAACATATATTGACTGAAGGTGCAAAATTAATTTATATCAACATGGCACATACATACGTGTTTATGGCCGCCATCTTGAATATGTTCGAATATGTATTGGACTGATGGCGCAGGCGACAATAGACAAACAACAACGGTTTGGTTTCCTTATTATTTAATTATACAAACAAATCTGCATAAAATATAATCTGAAGCTATATAAGATAAAGAAAGAAAACAAAGAAAATTACGACTATGTTTACATTAAGTGCAATATTTTAGTGTGATATAAGTGCAATATTTTAGGTTACAGAATACACTTAATAATTCTTCACACTTACATTTGTCCAAACCACTGTCACTTCGATAAACTTTATAAACCATAAACCAAACTTAACTTTTCACGACTTAAAACATTAATATTTAGCGTTTCTTTACACTACTTTCAACGTACTTTGAACGTTCAACATGGCTTCTAACACGTTCCAGAGCAAAGTGAAATATTCTATTTAGGCAAATTCATGCAAAATTTGATCAAAATTCTAAATATTGGCAGCAAATGAAAAAAATTCCTTACGCCAATGCGTGTGTTGTGTGTTTTAATTGCTTGACTACTCCTTGAAATTATATAATATATATATATATATATATATATATATATATATATATATATATATATATATATATATATATATATATATATATATATATATATATATATATATATATATATATGTAGTGGTTTTACCTCAAAAATGTTGCCACAAGCTTGCTTCATCTAAGAGGAATTATGAGGTGAATTTAAATAACGTGCTATGTTGTTGCCTATGATACAGTACTGACACTGTATTAATATAACCCTTTTGACATCAAACATGTACACAGTATATCCTACACAACAGCATAGCGTGTTATTTAAATTCACCTGATGAGTGTGGCAAGCCTCGTCTTGGGACAAATTTGTAGTCAAATAATGCTCATATGAAGTAACTCAAGTTTGTCTACTCTTATTACTGTAGCTCTAACTACAGTATTCATGAGGACTCTACTCATTATATGATTCCAAACTTGATACCTGTCTACATATATATGGTATATACTATACAGTATATCGTTTCGGGAATCATTAACAGGATAAGAAGAAAAGCGAATTGGGTTGCAGATGGTTGATAATTATTTTGCTATTTTGCCTCTCTAGGATTGGACACAAGAGGACCTGAAACAATTTTTGAAAATAATTAAGGGCATTAACATCAGAAATAATGTTCGAGAAACGAGATATGTGATGTTTCCAGTGACCAACCCTACGAAGATCCAGATGAAGCAAGTCAACATGATGGCAAGTGTGCTGGATGAAATGCAGCTAGGATGCCGGGACATTGCCTATTATCAATATTCCAGTAATCCAGTACCACACCAAAAGGTAACAAACTTGATAAATTATATAATTCACAAGAGATTTGTTTATTTGTAGGTTTCTAGTCAGTCATGCAACTTGAAAAATGTTTACACAATAAGTGAAATTGTTTGGGGCAAGACAGTTAGTTAAGGTGGATTTCCAGTCCTCGCACGAAGCTCCTCGCAGCTCGCTGCAAGTGATGCATGAGCACTTTCATCCAATCACAATGCTAGACAGTTAAGTTAATGAAATATTTTTTTTCTAGAGCAATGTCTCCTCACAAACTCGACCTTCCCTTTCCTGGTAACCAGGACCTCCAAGATTGTGAAGAGCAACAATAATTTTTCTGTCCCTGAGGATATCGCCATCAAAGAAAGAGACAGTGGTATGGTTTACAAAAGACAAAAGCCAGTAAAATTATATGAAGAACTTTTAGAGGTTTTGAAGGCAGACAAGTCACAACATGTGATAGATGCATGCAGTGGTGTCGCCTCTTGCGCAGTGGCTGGTCTGTCAAAGGACATAAAATGTGTTGTTCTTGAAAAATCTGCCATAAAGGCGAGGTTAATTTCTCAGAGACTAAAACATTAAATCAAGTAAACTCAGTTTGTTACTATAGTGCATCCTTAGCTTATATATACATATTCAATTACGGTTACCCAAGCAATAGTCTAATATTTAGCTATTTATTCCAAATACAAAGTGCAAAAGCTGTGTTATTGTATACATGTTTTTGTAACCACCTGATATGTAAGTACTAATATCTATTGCTTTCTATAGTTATCAAAATGAGTACTTGGTGATTGATACAGGTGATCAATTGCTATAGGTTTGGTGTGAACTTGTTATCACTGTAATTTCCTGAAATAGTTCGGTCAAACTCGAAATTGTTACCTGAAGTCACTTACACCTCGTCTTTGACATACATCTGTAAACATTGTGCCAACTTGTCGCTGCAAATGCAGTGCCAAATTGTCAACTTGTCGCTGCAAATGCAATGCCAAATTTTCAATTTGTAGCTGCAAATGCAGTGCCAAATTGTCAACTTGTCGCTGCAAATGCAGTGCCAAACTTTCAACTTGTCGCTGCAAATGCAGTGCCAAATTTTCAATTTGTCGCTGCAAATGCAGTGCCAAATTTTCAACTTGTCGCTCCAAATGCAGTGCCAAATTTTCAATTTGTCGCTGCAAATGCAGTGCCAAATCTTCAATTTGTCGCTGCAAGTGCAGTGCCAAATTTTCAATTTGTCGCTGCAAATGCAGTGCCAAATTGTCAACTTGTCGCTGCAAATACAATGCCAAATTTTCAATTTGTCGCTGCAAATGCAGTGCCAATTTTTCAATTTGTCGCTGCAAATGCAGTGCCAAATTTTCAATTTGTCGCTGCAAATGCAGTGCCAAATTTTCAACTTGTCGTTGCAAATGCAGTGCCAAATTTTCAATTTGTCGCTGCAAATGCAGTGCCAAATCTTCAATTTGTCGCTGCAAGTGCAGTGCCAAATTTTCAATTTGTCGCTGCAAATGCAGTGCCAAATTGTCAATTTGTCGCTGCAAATGCAGTGCCAAATTTTCAACTTGTCGCTGCAAATGCAGTGCCAAATTTTCAACTTGTCGCTGCAAATGCAGTGCCAAATTTTCAACTTGGCGCTGCAAATGCAGTGCCAAATTTTCAAATTGTCAACTTGTCGCTGCAAATGCAGTGCCAACTTGCAGCGAGAACTATAAATGCTTCGTAGTTGCGATATCGGGCAAAATATCTCCGTTTTGTCATCGTTTTTATTCGGGTTGCAAAATATAGTATTTTATTAAAGATTTGCCAACAAGATAATTTCCCATTCCTGCTAAATATGCGTGATTTTACAATAAACGGCATTGCTATACTCATTTGCTTCAAGATCATTCAATTTCATTAAAATTTCCTAATTTCTTGCAATGCTGCAGTTCTTGATTTTATTGGATTTTGTTGCAAATATTAATAAAATGTAGGGAATCCCGCATGAATGAATAGACGGATTGCAAGAATCTCATTATATTCAAATTATTAGCAGCATGTTGGTCAAATTTCGTGCAAAACAGCAGATTTGTTTAGGTTTTGTCCGGAATTCAGTAAATAGAATATTTCACTCACTTTGCTCTAGAACGTGTTTTCTTCAATTCGCGCGCTTTTGTTTCAGTTCATCGCGGGCGACAACAAATATTCCACGTACGTCTATGTTATTTTAGTCAAATGAACGTAACATTCATCCCGGCAATGGGAGAATTCCCATTTCTTCCTTCATTCGTCTTCGTAGCCTTCAACTGGGTATATAACCGCAATCTTGCTTATAGGACGTAAATAAGTACCTTTCGTTGTCTTCGCCATCACATTTCTTACCAATCCATCTTGTCCCGGAAAGACTTGGACAATTCTTCCAGTTTCCCATTTACCTCGTAGTGCGTTTGAATCCGCCAATGCTACGCAGTCATTTACTTTAACGTTTCGCGATTCGGCATTCCACTTTTTTCTTGGAACCAGTTGTGGTAGTACGTCTCTCGACCACTTTTTTCAGAAGGCTTCGACAATTCGTTGGCAAAATTCAAATCTATGGCGTTGGTTTTTCGTCTGTCGGAATGGACCTTGAGGGATTGCACTGGTTGCTCTACCAAGTAAGATATCGTTAGGGCACAAGTAGGAAACATCGTCGGGGTCCGATGGAAGGGGACCGATGGGTCTTTGGTTAACTAAATTAATTGGTAATCTCTAACAGACAGGTGTATAGCTCGAATGGTGCAAGAACAGCATCACCTATAGCTTTCTTGAGGGCTGTTTTGATAGTCTTAACCATAGCTTCCGTGGCACCATTCTGATGAGGAGCAAGAGGGGTGGTAAATTGCCATTTTATGCTGCGTTCTGCACAGAATTCTTTCAACTGCTTTACATTCCATCCTTTGATCATCAGGCGTAATTCGTTTTCAGCTCCTACCATTTGAGTGCCATTGTCGGACAGGATGAACTTAGGATAACCTCGATAAGAGAAGAATCGTCGTAATACTTGCATAAGTTCCATAGCATTAGCATCAACAGCAAGTTAACAGTGGATAGGATAGCTCGGGTATTGAGACATGTGAATACAACACCGTAATTTTAACATGTCTTGTTTCGACCGACTTTCACTTTCAATGGACCGAAATAATCCAATGACGAGTAGAGGAATGGTGGCGTGTGTGGCTGTAGACGAAACTTTGGCAAATTTGCTATCAACTGCGTTTCCACTTTCGCTTCGATTTCGCGGCAAACTGTGCAACGACTCTTGATGACCTTTGCAATTCTGTGGGCTTTGATGATCCAATACTTCTTTCTGGTTTTGGCGACCGTGGCTGCGACACCGTTATGACCAACTTGATGAGCATCACGTATGATGACCTTCGATATGTGACTGTTATAGGGCAATAACACTGGTCGTTCATTGTCGTAGGAAACAAGTGACGGATCTACGCGACCTCCAACTCGAATTAACTTCTTGTTATCGACGTAAGGCGAGAGTGTTTTGAAATCTCCTTTCTTCATTCTTGGAAAGAGACTTGATTACGCTTGTTTGAGCCAGTATTCTTCTGCGGCTTGGAGCTCTTCACTAGTTAAAGGTCACAATTCCGGTTGAGTATTCTCGTCGTTATTCTTCACACGTAAATTACAGCAGAATCTCTGGTTATAGGCAGTAACTCTAACAATTTGTTTCCACTTGGAATAGCGCTGACAATCAAATATTGGATGTGCGACGGTTACAGGGCAGGTGACGGTAACTTTTCTTCTCTCTTTGTTAACTTCTTGCGCGTCCGGTATATCCATTTCCATTGGCCATTGTTCCTCTGGTAGCGTTAAGAAAGATGGACCGTTAAACCATCAACCGTTGAGCTCCTTCGGTGTGATACCTTTGGTCAAGGCATCAGCAACATTTTCAGCCGTGGGACAATGATACCAATCTGCGGGATTAGAATTCGACTGGATTTCGCTGACTCGGCACGACACAAATGATTTGTAGGAACGTGGCATTCCTTGGATCAAGGCTAAGGTTACTCGGCTGTCAGAAAAGAACATTGTTCTTAGAATTTTAAGTCTCGTTTCCTCTTGAATTGACTTCGCTAGACGACTCGCTAGTACGGCAGCTTGCAACTCCAGACGAGAGATCGTTAACTCCTTTAAGGGCGCAACTCGAGACTTTGCTGCCACAAACCGAACTCCAAATTTTCCATCTGTAAATTTCCATCTAACATAGGTACACGCTCCAAAGGCCTTTCGGGATGCATCACAGAATGTGATCAGATCTGGATTAAGTATTGCACCTGCTGAGGTGAGGCATCGTTGAAATCGAACGTTGTTAAGTGCAGCCATTTCATTAAACAACAATGTCCATTTTTTCTTGAGATCAGATGGTATATCTTCATCCCAACTTAGACCGTGCTGCCAAAGCTCTTGCATACCGATCTTCGCTTTCACCAAAGTGGCTGTTTCGGCTCCGATGGGATAAAAAATGCCAGCTAACTTGCTGAGGATAATACGTTTTGTCATTTTGGACGGCTTTGTAGACGCAGGCGTTGCTTCATTAGATAATGCATTGGGATACTCGATCTTTACTGCAAACGAGAACTGATCTTGCTTTGGATGCCAAACAGTTCCGAGAACTTTTTGCACATTGCTTTCTTCATTTGCTCCGAGTCCTACTTCATCTCTGCTTTCTTTATCAGTCAATGGTGCGTTGGATATCCACTCTTTTAATAATCAGTGGCGTAGCCAGAGTCAAAGTTTTGGGGGGGCGAGATCCGAACGCCGAAGGCGTGAGCCATTCTAGGGGGGTCCGGGTGCATGCCCCCCCGGAAAATTTTGAAATCTAGACTCCCGCAAATGCGATTTCCTGCATTTTCCGGGTGAGATTTTGCAGAATAAAGTTGGCATTCTGAGGATTATATATTGCATAAAAGACATGATTTTCCTTGATTTCACAAATGTACCAATCTTCTTTTCTCCCAAATGTAATAAATTGTCAAAGCCATCTATACTGCAGAACTGAAGTTGGGTTATTCTTTTCACTTTATGACCCTTTTATCCCTAGAGAAGTGTGTAAAAAGGCTTAAACGAACATTAGTTGGACATGTTGAGTTCAAATAATGCGAAGTTCTTTTATTCGACAGTGAGACACTGTTCGTTTCTACAATGCTTTTTAAAAGAAATGGGGACTCAGAGTCTGATAAAGTGTAAATTTAAATATTTGAAAGAATAGAGAAATAGTTGAGAGTAAATGTTTAATTTAAAAATCTAAACTAAACCCATTCTTCTTGGGGCCATGTCTACGAACAATTGGACAAGATTGTCCACATCAAGTTGCTCCAACAAGTCGTCTTCGATGGACATCAGCATCAGACTATTCAGTTTTTCCTGCTGCATGGTTGTCCTAAGTCGAGACTTTATCAACTTTAGCTTCGAAAATGTCCTTTCGGCACTTGTTGATGTGAGGGGCAGTGTCAAAGCAATTTTCATCAGCTTTGTTAAATTTCCATAGCATTCGGGTTCAGCTTGCAGTGCTTTGAACAGGTCGTCGAAACTGGCTTTTCTCTTCTCTAATTTTGCCTTCTCGAGGATGTTAGCAAGCAGCGACGATGTCTGTAGGGAAAATATTTCGCTCTCTACTTCATCAACATCAAGATCGCATTGGAACCATTGGGCCGCGACAGAAATATGTTTCCTAGCTTCTGGATTGCCTATTCGAGAAGGATTTAAGTATCCGAGACCCATCAAAACTGGTGCGTTATTCTTGTCAAATCGACTTTCAATGGAGCTAACCATAAGATCAAGTACCTAGATTTCGAAAAATACATAGCTGTAAATATTTTTATAAGCGATTGGAATGCATGTTTCCAGAACAATTCATTATTCATATAACCTACATTATAGTAAAAGGAAATTCTAAACTTGTCTTTCGACGTAAGATGGACTGCTGTGTCAGGATTATCGTCGATCCTCCTAGGAAGTTTGTGGGTACGCTCTTGTCTTGGTTCTTCGATATTCAAGCTGCGACATTTTGTAACAGTAGTTTCCCAAAATTCCTCAAATTTGGGCTCGCATCGTAGAGCCTGTACTGTGCTTAGCAGATCAGCAACTCTTTCGCAGCCGGTGACGACATCCAAGTCCTCTGACTGCAGCTTATCTGACACTCCTTTACTGAGTAGCAGGACTTTCTTCAGCACCTTAATAAAAATGATCAACTCACATCATTAAATTTTCATTAAAAATAAAAATGAATAAAATATAAATCACGGTACGTTTGTCATCAAAACAGTACCTCCAAAGCCAAAACAAATTCAAAATCACAGACGTTCTGAAACAACCCCTTTGCTTCTGCTGCAATGTGAGCCTTCTTTTCATTTTCTCCGATCTCTTTTAGAGTCGCGATGACAGCTTTGAGTGTGTGGTAAATTGCGGTGATGCTGTCCGCCCGACATGCCCATCTTGTATCAGACAATTTCTTCAGAACGTACTCACGCTTCTTGTTTCCTTCATTATCTGACGCATTCAACTTTCTCTGGTGTTTCAAGTACACAGCATGTCGTTTTGTGCAAGTTTCGATGAACACGTATAGATTTTGCAACGTTCCAAAGAAATCTCTTGCTATACTATTGTTACTCATTGTGTCCACGATGACCAGATTTAAAACATGAGCATAGCAATGTGTGTAAATTGCTGACGGGAAATCTCTTTGATGCGTGCTTGCAGTCCGGTATGGATTCCAGACACGTTACTTGCACCATCATAACATTGTCCACGCATGTTTGAAAATTCTATCCCACACTGTTGTAATTTCTCTCGG